AAAGTCTCTCTATGAAAGGGATGCATCAGATATGATAAAATAATAATTACAAGCTATAAGAGAGAGACATGTGATACAAGATCACCCTAACTCTGGGCAACAGCAGGATATCAAAGATGAGTCTCGGTGACGGTCCATTTATCATGGTGTGTCAGAAACCAGAAACCTTGAACCAGAACAACAACTCATTGCATTGAATATTTGCATGTAAAGCTGCTTGGACAATATATATATACTGTGTGACACACTGCGGTTTCCAATGCCACTATGACAAAGATATATGAGATGGGAACGTGAGAAAGATGGAGGAATGGAGTGGTGCATGTGCAGTGGTGAGAGGCTGAACTAGAGATGAGGTGGTGGTGACAAGTGTGAGAGAAGGCTGCCTATTAGCTAGAGAACAGTCACTGTGGAGTAGGGTCAGCAAGGTGGTGTGCAGCAGACTGGACCTTGTGCAAACTCAGCCTGCCATCACTCTGCCTGGCCACATGAACACCCTGGCTCTGAGCAACGGCAGGATGTCCAAGATGAAGAACAATTCATTTTCTGGATTGGACCCTCTTGAAAGACCTCTATGGTCCGTGCTGTCCCTGGAGTCCATGTTGGTATCCATGGTCCAATGCCCTAGGCCGTGTTGAAGCCCAAGGTTCTGAAGCCCATGCTACTGCCAGAGCCCAGGTGGAAGTCTGTAGTCTGCTACTTCGGGAGGCCATATTAGTGTCTGCGGTCCATGTTGCCGCTGGGAGCCACGTTGATGTGAGTGGCCTGTACTGCTGCCTAAGTCCATGTTGATGTCTGTGATCCATGCTGCCCCAAAAGGCCATTGTGGTATCCATGGTCCAGCTGCAACTGGGGATCGTGTTGATGTCTGTGACCCCTGTTACCACCAAAGGCCATGCACATGTTCGTGGTCTGTGCTGCCATCTAAAGTCATGTTGATGTCCATTAGCCCAGCTGTACCCGGAACCATATTGGTGTCTGCAGCCCCTATTGTCCCATGCTGCCTCTCAGGGCTATGATGGTATTTGGGGCCCATGCTGAAGCAAAGAGCTGTGTTGATATCCATCGTCCATGGTCTGTACCGCCACTGGAGACCATGCTGAGGTCTGTGGCATGTGCTGAGGGTATCCATGGTCTGTACTGTTGCCAGAAACCATGTGGAAGTCCATGATCCATGTTCCCATGGACTGTAAATAGCAAGGAAGCTACTTTTACAGTGGTACTGATGACTAGACTCACAGTTGAGAAAGAGGGACATAAAAGGCTTCTGTGACAACCCCTACCCCCAACCCACCCCATCCCCAAAAAGTAACAGCCTAGACAGAAAGCCATCAAAGAGAACTCTTAAAATTTGTAATGAGGATGCTGAAGTGTAGCTCTCCACAGTTGATGGCTTCTGGTGGGGGTGAGTGTGGGAAAGGACTCAGTTTTATTTAAGGAACTGGCCACTGGGAGTTTGGCCATGCTCCAGTGAGTATATGGGCAACACAAATCCGACATGGTGGGTTTTTTCCTTCTTTTTGGGAAGGGGCAGGGAAGTGGGGGTGACTTGGGAGGGCTGGGAAGTGAGTGTGATCAGGGTGCATGATGTGAAATTCACAAATAATCAGTAACCAATAAAAATATTATGTTGGGAAAAAAAACTAAAAAATACTGGTAAGAGTAATTATAAAAGATGGTAGATGGGGTAGTTTGAATGAGAATGGCCCTTGTAAGCTCATGCATTTGAATGCTTGGTCCCCAGTTGGTAGAATTGTGAAAGATTAAAAGGTGTGGCTTTGTCAGAGGAAGTGTGTCACTGTGGGTGGGCTTTGAGATTCCAAAAGACTGGGACCATTCTCAGGCTGTCTCTTTCTCTCTCTGCCTCCAACTTGTGGATTAAAATGTGAACTCTCAGCTGTTCCTACTGCCATACCTTTGCTCTGCCATCATAGACTCTAACCCTCTAAAACCATAAGCCCAATTAAATGCTTTCTTTTCTTAGAAGAAGGAGGAGGAGGAGGAAAAGAAGAAAGTAATTTGGAAGAAAGAGCATGTAACCTACTATTTTGTCTATCCGAGGCCTAGAAGCATGCAAAGCATGTCTATCCACTGCTTAGGAATGCATATGTGCAGCAGAAGGCTGTAAGAATGAGTGGGAGGGACAAACACCAAACTGGGAATAATATTTACCTCCAGGGCAGAACTCAAGAGGCATCTATGTGGGTCTTAACTATTCACTGTATCCGACTGAGTGAGTGAGTGACTGAATGAGTGACTGAGTGAGTGAGTGACTGAGTGAGTGAGTGAATGAGTTATGTTTTGTTGGTTTGTTTGTTTTGGTTTTGGTTTTGGTTTGGTTTGTTTGAGACAGGATCTCACCATGCAGCACTGGCTAATGTCCAACTCACACTCCTCCCACGTGCTAGGGTTAGAGGTGCCTACCCCACAGCCAGTAGTGCTTTTACGTTTTGTACTATGTGATTGGTACATAGGCTTTATTTTTTTATCCTTTGTACCTTCTGTATATTTCAAATATTTCATAATTGTTTTAAAGAAATCAATAATTTCATAACAGTTCTGGATGTTTCGGGAAAAATAAGGGGCCCCGTGCCCAGAATTTGTTCACTTCTTACAACTTTTCTCATCCTCTGTCACTCAGAGTAGCTCAGACTCTCCCAGTTTTCTGGGCTTCTCTGAAGTTAAGGTTCCTTTGGTGGCAAAGTGGTTTCCACGTGTCAATTCCCAACCCTGAGACGTCAGAAGCTCCGCTGGGAATCGTGCCAAGAAAGCAATTAAGAGAATAGGTTTCCTAGTAGGAGACATTACAGGACTCTTGGGCAAGTTCAGGGTGTGTTGATGGGCCCTTCAGGGGCCCCAAAGGCTTATGTCAGGAACATGCTCCGTACCAGAAATGCTTCAGGGCAAAACAAAGGGTCAGACAGCTGGCTCCCTGCCTCTCTATGACAAGTGCTCCTAAAGAGCACAGGGGACATCTGGAAGGAGGCTCAGCACACCTCACCAAAAAACGGGCACTCCAAGAGTTCAGCTTCCTGGCCTCATTTCCCTGGAACACCCAAAGGCTGTGCGCACTCTCCTGATCCTCCCAACAGCAACCCCTGCCTTGTTTGCTCACTCTCGAGCTTTGAGAGAGGTCTCCCTGCCATCAGAACACTTGGTCTGAGTCAAGGACGAGTGTCCAAGGCCCTGTATTTTGTCTGGGACTATAGCAGGGTGGGGGAGGGGACAGGGAAGCAAAAACAGGATTTGAGGTGCAACTTTGACCTCACCAGCCTCCAGACATTTACCAGGACTACGTTCTCTCCATTTTTTCCCAAAATACAGTTGTTGTTGTTGTTTTTCCAGATTTCCTTATCTCACCATCTCCCTGTTTTATCCTTTCTCCCCAAACTGCTCCCTTTAGGAGGCAAACAGTTCTGTTTCTTCCTTTGGAATGCCTCCTATCTTCTTAACCACATTCCTGTCAATTCTTGGAACTTGGTTTGCATTACTGACCATCGCCCAGACAAGACAATAGACGGCTTCCCAATAGAGCTCCAAGAGCAGATCGGGTGGGGTGAGTCCTCCAAGGCCTGGGGTGGGCAGAGAAGGATGAGAAATGGGTTTGCTCTATGCAGCGCTCTGCTTAGCAGTCTCCCCTGCTTGAGAGCAGTGAGCATTTCATTGCAACCTTCTCAGAGCTTTGTGGGCTGGGAGGTGACACGGTGGCAGCGTCTGGAGGGCCCGAAGGGAGACTCGTTCTTCTGGGATTTGTTGCCAGGATTGCAGCCTGAGGACTGACTCACCCAGGGAGGGCTGGGTACAAGCCAAGGATCAATGGAAAGACTCTGGGGTCATACACGCTGCCCTTGCCTCTGCCAGCTCAGCCTGCTGGGGACCTGCCAGGACTCACTAGGCAGGCAGAGTTTAGCTCAGGGAGTCAAGACTATTTTGCAAAGTTATCCAGGTTGTTTTTGGTTTTTTGTTTTTTTTTTCCTACTGGGACAAGAATGCATTTTCTTCCTACCGATACATCACAAAGCAAACTATCCTTGCCCCTCATCAAAAGCCAGAAAAGTTAGGAAATTGCTCTTTCCTTCTCTAGAAAGCTTATAAACATACACAAGCAGGTTTGTCTGCTCTGGAAGGCAGCTTGCATGGGCACTGGCCTCTCTGTTACCTTGGCTGTTCTCCTGAGGCTCCAGGCCTGGTTTCCCAGTGGAACCCAGCCCCCTTCTCTTTTCTCCATTTACTGACATCCCCCTGCCTGAAACCAGCCCACAGGACCTTTACCTTAGATAAGTCCTACCAGGAACTGCTGCAATGGAAACCAGAGGGTAAACAAAAATGACCCCCAAGAAGATAACCATGTCATAGGCAATTTTACCAAGTTGTTACAGTGATCCCTTGAGCTTGGGCACAGACCCAAGGCCCTCAATGTCCTTTCCAGGCCTCTGATACTCCATAGAGTCCTGTAGGTTCTTCTGGCTGGCTCTGCCCTTCCCCAGACCCCCGAAGAGCTGAAGCTCTGAGCAAACCTTCTCTCTGTCCTCCTCACCAGCAAATCTGAAGGGGCTGCCAAGCGTACGGAGAAATTATTCCGCATGGCCGTGCTCAGCCAGAAAGTCAAAAAAGCCATCTATTTCTGAACCCAAACTAAAATGAGGTCGCCACCAACATCTCAACCATCACTGTGCCTAGAAGCCACAAGGATGAAGCACAAGGCATCATAAATGATGCTTCAATCTACCCTTCTCACTCTGTAGATAGGAAATGAGATTCGGAGAGATGACCTCGGATTCTGGGCCAACTAGGTTTCTGGATTTTTTTTTTTAAGTGGTCGGGTTTCTTCTTCACACTCACTGCAGCCCTTCATGACACAGTCCCTTTGCTCTACCCTCCTGATCAACTGAGACTTCGCAGGGTTGGGTGGAGCTGCCATTGCCACCGTTGTCTCCACCACCTCCACCATAGCGTGAAGAATGTATCCACGGATGAGATACAGTGACAGAAACAAGATGCAAGTTTTAAATACATCCAACTTTATTAGGAGTAGGCTGCTGTCACCTCAGCAGCCAGCTCCCATGTATACACAGTATACACGCTCAGCCAGTCCCCAGACCCTCTCATCCTTCTGCAGTATACAAAATGCAAAAGAAGCAAGCCCAAACGGGGAAGGGGCTCTACCAACAACAGTGTCTAGAGTCTCCAGCAGCTGACTTCCAAGCTGGGCTCCTTCCAGCCCCTCCCGCAACATGATGAAGTCCATAAGAGGGTGTCTGAGTCTAAATCCTCCAATCAGTGCACACACTATGCAAAGGAGGGTAGGGGATCCCGAACCCGAAGTCTTACTGGTCCATATCCCAGTGAAGAAGTTCCTGGAGCCACCAGAGTGTTCTTCTCCACAGGCATGGGACATCACTTTGACTTCTTATTCCATCATGAGAAACCTGTGCCTTGACCTCATCTCTGCTCAGCACGGGTTGACAGAAAATGTTCAAAGGCAAGACAAACTTCCCAAGTTGTCTCCGTCATACTTCTTTTAAAAAGAAGAAATTTATAAATCAAAAATAAAAACTATTGTGACAGAAAAAAAAGAGTGTGGACACCTGGAATTTGTCAGGAACAAGAGTGACCATCCCTCCTTGAAATAATTTGTAAAATAGCTGATGGCAATACTGCTCCGTTCAAGGCCAGTCACCTCACTTCCCACCCACCCCAGCCCTAACCCTGTCTGCACAGCCAAGCGCCACCTCTACTTGTAGAGATAGAATGCACAAAGCACGGGGCGCCATGCTGTCATCAGCTAGCAAGGTTCCCCTCAGCCTCAGGCCCTGGGGTCCTTTTGTTGTTACAGTTCTGAAGTACTTGCTGCTTCTGCCTCACACTGTCCTTCATTGGTGACTGTAACCCTCAGAGGGTTGCATGCCCTTCACCTACTGTAGGAGCTCTATCCAAGGTCTCCAGCCCAGAGATCAACCAGGGTTAGAATAACACCCTAGAGTAGTGTTTCTCCACCTTCCTAATGCTGCAACCCTTTAATACAGTTCCTCATGTTGTGACCCCCCCAACCATAAAATTATTTTCATTGTTACTTCAAAACTGTAATTTTGCTACTGTTATGAATCATAATGTAAATATCTGAAATGCAGGATATCTGATATGTGACTTCTGTGAAAAGGTCACTCCACCCTCAAAGGGATTGCAACCTGCAGGTTGAGAACCACTGTCCTAGAGGCTAAACTGGCCACTGGCCAGCATGTAGATTTTGACTACTAGGGGACATGTAAAAGAACTGACACAGGTCCCTGTCTCCCACAATGAAGACAAGAGTTTTGGTCTTCTCTCCATCAAGTCCTCCACTGAGGCCCTGGACACGTTGCCTATTCTTTGAAGATGCCCTATATACACTGGAGCCTCGGGGTCTTCAAGAGATACCCTACTGTAAGAAATACCTGGATTCCTATTTCCCTGACACGTCTACAAGAATGACAGACGGGTCTCCAGTAGTTCTGCTGGTGGCTTCCAAGAGTCCCTAAGTCAGAGCATTGATTCTTAGTGTTTCCTAAAACCTGATCCCAAGGAACCTGAAGAAAAAGACACTCCACCCCATTCTGTCTTCATATTTTGAGCTCCAGCAGAGCAGATAGCCAGGCTGTGGGAAACAGGAATCCACGCACACACTCAGCTCTTTGGGCAGCTCCAGCTATGATGATAACTGAGTATGGCGGAAGCGTCACGTTACTTCTGTCCTAGAGAGCACGATCTGAGGTAGCAAACAATGAACCCCATTTACCTCCAAGAAAGGTGAAGGCTTGGAGATATAATGTAGCATGCCCACAGGAGACAGCAGGAGGTGCCAAGGAAGAAGACTGACTTGTCAGCAGGTGGGTTTTCAGCATCTCACCCCCGCCCAGGCACACCCACTCCTCCCTCAGTGGGTACAGGGCTATGGTCACTGTGAAAGTTCCCTGGGGCCATGCAGTGTCTTCATCATCAGAACTCCTTTCCCCCAGCCCAGAGTGACATTCCTAAAGTCAGATCCCACAGCTCAGCACCTACCCATCCTCACCCCAGTGAGAGCAGAACCTTCGAAATCTCTAGTGTTCCCTGCTTCAGCCATCAAATCATCTCCCCTTTTAAGTGGCAGCATCTGTTTGTCATAGCTGCTCTCTTGACCAAGAAGAGGTCCCTGCAGTTTCCCTGGCTGCCTACAAAGCATCAGGGGCCACATCAGTGCTGCCTCCACAGATCTAATGCCCTGGCCATCCGGGTTCCAAGATGCTGGTTTTTCAAGGAGGGCCACGATGGAAGAAGAGCAAACACAGAACTCCCTGTACATATCCACCTTTTCCCAAACAGGGAAGTTGCACCCAAATGAACCCCATCTCCTTGTCCCTTTGGCTTCTAGTGACCCCTGAACAATTTTAATGTTAGGTCCACATCAGTCAGAAAGAAAGAGGGTTGAAAGCACCGTGAGAACCCTGCCTTGTTCAGGGATATGTCAAAGCTCCTGGGATCACCTGAGGGTGCCAAGCTGCAGGCCATGGCTCTTCCAGCAGCCTGTGGTCTCCGTTAGGGGGGCCAAGGTCCCTGATGTTCTGCCTGGAAGGCACCCAACTTCCAGGTTCCTGGAAGCAGGGCTTCAGCACCTTCTGCCCAGCACCCATCTGTTGAAGCCTCTCCCCACAACTGGGCCCCGAGGAGCAGGGCATGAGGTAGACTGTGCATTAGTTAGCTTCCCCCTGCCCGGTCCAAGGAGGAAGGAACCTCTCGCCCAGACCCATGGTCCTTGTTCTGGATTTGAGTGACACTGTGACACAGGCCACTGACCGCCATCCTCTGCTCCAGCTGACCGCAGCACCAGCACAACGGTGGGTGGAGAATAAAGGAGTGGAAGAGACAGTCCCCCTCAGCAGGGCCGCAAGACACAGAAGTCTAATTCCTGGGGCTTGCGCCGTAGTTCACACTGGTCCCGAGCCAGCAGCCTCCCTCCGTGACCAACACACTTGAGCGGGCGCCTTTTAAATCCTCGGCCACAGCTCTTAGAGCAGGGCGACCAGTTGCCAAGCTCCCAGGTTGGACAGGGTTCCCCACAGGCTCGTTTCTCCACTGGTCGATGAGCTGCATCGCAAGCAGAGGTTCCTCGCTGCTCCAGGGAGCCCCGACAGTCCACTGCTCGCTTCTGTAGGCCACTGCCACAGCTTACCGAGCAAGGCCCCCAGCTGCCTGCCACCCAGCGTGCAGGTGGCCTGTTGTCTGGCTGCTCTACTTGGTTGGAAAGGCTGAGAACACTGTTGCGCAGCACTGGGGAACCCCGAGGGTCCTTGGGGCGAGGGGACTTGTCCTCCCGAGGCTCTTTGGGCAGATAGAAGGAGTAGCGCACCCGGGGTGGCGTCATCTTCCCCACTGACAGGACCTCCACGGTCAGCGGCTCCAGGATGGGACGAGAAGCCTGCAGGCTCTCTACCGCAGTGCCAGTACCACTGTACCGGAGCAGGCTGCCCTTTACCACCAGGTCCCGCTCTACGGCAGATACCACAAAGTGTCCGTTGAGCAGGTATTTGCCTTGGCTATTCTTCAGGGCCAGGTAGTTGTCATCCCCAATGAGCCCCTTGTAGCCACGCTGGCGGATGTCAATGCTGGAGGCGCCTGCAGGGATGGCCACTACAAAATTGTAACCGTGCCTAGAGTAAAGAGAGTATACATTATACAGATGCTTAAGGCAACATCCTTTATCCTCTTCAAAGTAAGAACTGATGATGGGTTTGGGATACATCACAAAAATGGCAGCAGAAGGTAATGCTGTGGGATGCCCTGTATGCTGTGAATATATGTTGCTATGATTGATTGATAAATAAAATGCTGATTGGCCAGTAGCCAAGCAGGAAGGGTAGTGTAGGTGGGACAAGGAGAGAGGAGAATGCTGGGTGGAAGTAGGCTGAGTCAGAGAGTCACTGCCAGCCACTGCCATGGGGAGCAGGATGGAAAGTACCGGTAAGCCACGAGCCACGTGGCAAGGTATATATTTATAGAAATGGGTTAATTTAAGATATGAGAGCTAGATAGCAAGAAGCCTCAGCCATTAGGCCAAACAGTTTAAATAATATAAGCATCTGTGTGTTTATTTGAGTCTGAGTGGCTGCTGGATGGGACTGGAGATAACTCCAACTACAGAGTAAGGCTGCTTAATGACCACCATCCAGAGCTCAAGGAGTCAGGAAGCTGAAAGCCAGACTCAGTTAAGCTGAATGCCTAGGCTGTAGGACCTGGAGATCTTTTTGTCCCTCAGTAAATTTGTCTTTTGGGTGAATCCAGAGTATAATAAAAATGCAAGTTTGAGGCTTAGAAAGAAGCACGCCCCCTTATGTGGCTGTTGATCTTGGATACGTCTCAGCATCTCTAAGTCTGTTTCCTCTCCCATGAAAAATGGAGCTCATAACTTCACACACCACAGAACCGTCCTGGGGTAAGGAAGCCCACAGAACATCAATCACAGAGCAGAGCACCTGACACAGAAGACTCAAAAGGCATAAGGTATTATGAGGAGAGTGGAGAGGATGTAAGTATACAGTGATCAAGTCCAAGGTTGGTTATTGCACACGGTCAGAGTAATGACCTTGGAGTCAGGGTCAGGGATTAGGCCTTGACTCAGATACCAACTCCCTTTAAGTAAGTCAGCACATTGTTCTGGGTTCCTGCATCCTCATCCACACAGGCTAAGTTAAGGCAGATGCTTCCTCAGGCTCCACTCGGTTCCTCTAAACACCTCATGGACCCACCCTGTTGCATATCCTTCAGAAAGACAGCTTCAAAAACTCTGTATCAGCAACAACTGAGCTCGGAGAAAAGGAGCTGGGGGCTTCCCTGTGCACCCCTAGGGGCTCAATAGAGGATGTCATGTCCAGAGGGAACAGTCCAACTCCAGGAAGACCATCTGGTCTTTCTCTCTTCTGCACTTGGTCCCAAGAATTTTTGGTTAACCATACACCAGGCTCCCAACTGAGATCTCCAGTGCTCTGCTCACCCTGCTTCTTCCAGAACATAGGTTGGGACTTCCAAAGGAGGGTGTGGTCAGCCTCATAAAGCTCCAGCTGCTGAGCTGCAGATACTGGAGTTTGGACTAAAAGAAGCCAATTATGGGGCACATTTCCCTGGCAGCCAAGACTCCATTCATTCTCTTCTCAATGCAATCCCCAGGGCCAGGACCTCAAGTCCCACAAAAGCATGGTGACTGTCCCATATCACCTCTTTTCCCTCACGAACATGTATTAAGCACACACCAGACACTGTACTAACTTTTTAAAATTAAGTTCCATACTCTTCATGAGACTGAATATGAAATCCATCTACGACTAGGTGTCTAGAAGTCTGAAGAATAAAGCACTTGCCCAAGGTCATGCAGAAATCAGAGAACTGAGATCTGGAAACAGCTCCGTCCTTGTCTTTGTTAGGGTTACTATTGCTGTGTTGAAACACCCTGGGCAAAAGCAGCTCGGGGAGGTCAGGGGGTTTCTAGCTTAGGCTTCCACACCACTGCTCATCACTGAAGGAAGTCAGGGCAGGAACTCAAATGAGACAGAAACCTGGAGGCAGGAGCTGATGCAGAGGTCCTGGAGGAGTGCTGCTTACTGGTTTGCTCAGCTTGCTTTCTTAGAAGTCAGGACCATCAGCCACCATGGGCTGGACTCTCCCCTATCAATCATTAATTAAGAAAATGTCCTAGAGGCTTGCCTACAGCCTCATCTTATGGAGGCATTTTCTCAGCTGAGGCTCCATCCTTTCTGATAACTCTAACGTGAGTCAGGTTGACATCAAGCTAGCCAGCAGAGTCCAGCTCTAGAATACTAGACAGATCCTAGCAACATTCCCATCTCCCCGAATCTCATCTCCCATTAGGGTGTGTCTTCGTCTTTGTTTACTGGCTGAATGGATGGATACATGAACACATGGATGGATACATAGATGGATTATCAGCCCAGAAAGAGTACGGGTGGCCTCCACAGCAACAACACAACAACACGCCCACACTAACATTCACTCCACTCTAAGCCAAGCTTTCGATGCCTAGGAGGAATTCCACCTCCACCACCCCCAATCCCATCCCCCCTTGCCTGTGCCCTCCAGGGCCCAGAACTTACATAGGCTTGGTGAAAAGCCCTGTGACCCTCTTGCAGCTCTTGTTGTCCCCGCCACACACCCCGCATTTGTCAAACTTCTTCTTGGAGCCCAGGTTCCCGTCGCAGCCAGCCTTGATGCATTTGCCTTGGACACAGACCGAGGTGGAGTCGGGAGTACACAGCGTACCATCCACCACCTGTGACATTCCCCAGAGAAAGAAGAGAGGGGCAGCTCAGTGAGGTGCGCCTCTGAAGAAGACTAGGCTCTGGCCCTGTCTCTTGTCCCCGCATGCTCACCTTAGGTGCTAGCACATAGAAGTAGCCAGTGCCATTGGCTCGGCAGATGAGCTTGCATTTGTCCCGTGGCGATACGCCGGAGTACTTGGGTACCCATGCTACAGCTAGGGTGAGCCGGTTGGTGCTGTGATTGTAGCCATTGAAAGCCTCACATTGCTCCTCCCGGAAGCTCTTGCCAGAAGCTGGACAGGAAGGAAGCACATAAAGGAAGCTAAAAAAGAGCCAAGGAAGGTACAAAAGACAGCGTCCCTCCCAGAGGTCCCCAGCTCTAAAAGCCCCTCTGCCATATGATAGTCATCCCTACCTCCAAATATTAAAGCTGTCTGGAACCAAAAGATACAGTACACAATAAGACATCCCATAAGCAAAGTACCACCTTCGCCAGTACCTAGCCTCAGTTTTCATCTATAATGGATGCCCTAAACATTTTTTGTATGATGAAACCCTTCAGCAACCTATTAATCAAATCTCTTCTCATTACATTGTTAAATGCATTACACAAATTATATCATTTACAAGAATACCAATTCTATTGATAAGCAACTATTGATATACTTTGAAACATACTTCTAATGTATGTGCTCTTAGTAATGCATTAAAAAAGCAATACTCAATGATGACTCAAATAACCGCTATAATTTTGAGGTTAGGATGAACAGAAAGGCATTTTGAGAATTCTTCAACAATTGAAGTACCATGTAAAGATATTCATAGTTTCAACTGATGACAAAGTCACAGGAATTTATACTGCTATTGTCCTTTGTTGCCCAAGTGAAAGAAATATTGACTTTTAGATGGAAAGGTGAATTTAAAAGCACTGAGCTGGGCAGGGTAGTGCATGCATGCCTTTGATCTCAGATCTCTTTAGGCAGATTTTTATGAGTTCAAGACCAGCCAGGGATACACAGTGAGACCTGTTCTCAAAAAAAGGGGGAAGGGGCTAAATTCCTAATTCAAGGAGAGACTAAGTTTTAGATAGAAGCATCATTGGAAATTAAAACGTAAATTTTTCCCATCAAGTGTATGGCCCCTGGATTCCTGCTGACAAGATAGGCTTGTGAGTAATAAACTGTGAAGACTTCTAGAGGCCCATTCCTTGGGCCAGTCAGCCTCCCACTCTAAGCAGCAAGAAGAAAACACCTTTGCCAAAGCTGAACAGCTAAAGGGATGGTGCCGAGGAGAGTTTACACGTCACTTGTGCTGGGCTCTTTCCTGACAACTGAGATCTTGATCGCAAGGTTTGTGAGCAAGAGTGACCTCCAGGCACACAGCCCAGAGGGAGGCCCAGGCTCCCGCTGTCCCGCGTCTCACCTGAGCTGGGGCAGGGCTCCAGGTTGCAGGATCGGTATTTCACTCTCACTCCCTCGCAGTACTTCCCGCCGTTGGCAGGGGTGGGGTTGCTGCACTGCCTCCGGGCCAGCTGCACGCCCCCACCGCAGGTGCGAGAGCAGAGGCCGTACGGTTCCCACTTGGCCCAAGAGCCGTCCACCTGTGTGGAAGAGCAGGTTATTCTCCAGCAGGCCCAGGTGCCACACCCAGCCCCTCACCTGGAAGCTCCCAGTGAAAGCTATCAGTTCCCAGCCCACCTCTCTAGAATGAAGTCCACTCTGTATCATGAGATTTAAAAAAATGATAAGCAAACAATCTGTATGTTCAAGACCCACCCAACACTTAAACTGATTCATCAGCAAACACCAACTGTTCCCTGTTGGAAATGAGAGTTCTGGGAAGAGGCATCTTAGGCTGTGAAGCCGGTGGACTGTTACATCTGCCTCTGCCTGCTCCACAGGAGTGGGCTTAGCTGGTCGCCAAACCTCCTTAGGTTTCACACTTCATCTGCACGAAATGAGACCAGAAACACTCAGAGCTGAGGTTGCATGGAAGATTCCAATTGGGTGGCATGTATGAAAGCCCCTGGCCTATCTCCATGAGGGATTTCCAAGTCTTCCCTGTGAGCAGTTAGTGTATGGATAGTCAGCTCCAAACCTTGGGTAGGTGTAACCAACAGCCAAGTCAATATCCAATGTTGCCATGGGTGTTGTAACATTTTTATGTGTAAATGTTCTATCATCCTGACTTTCTACCAAACCAGAATGATTTTGACCTCCATCCGGACTGCCTTTGAGAAAGTTCAAGGCATCACATGCATCAGCAGTGCTAACATTTGTGCCGAGAGAGCATGTGTTAGAGAGCATGAAGCAACCCTAAGCCACCATCCAGCTTTGGGATAAATGACGGTAAGTCTGATGCTGTCATTTGCTCATTTGTTTAAGAGGATGAAAGATTTATCATCTTCATTGTGTTTTTTGTAGGATGATAGTAGACTGACTTCTCACTCCCTGAACATGTGTCAGTTGGGCACAGAAAGGCGGCTGAGCTGGGAGTACAGCTGTCACTCAGGAGCATCCATAGATGCTAGACCACATGGCCCTATGCAGGAACTACTTGCATGAAGCATAAACCTTCCTTCCTTCATGTTCTAAGAGTCAACTATGTGTCTGCTCTTCCCTTATCTGAGCTTCTCTGAAGCCTGCACGTTGTAGCCTCCCACATGTGGGTAGCCCCTCACAAAGGTGCTCTCTCTAAAGTCAGAAGTGACCATCTAAAGAATGAGTGACTGTACCCAGGCCTTCCTATCTCAGCTTCTCTTCAGTATTCAGCACTGTAGACAAAATCTATTTGATATAAATTTTCCACATATTTGTACAAAAACTTTCATTGTGTGCCTGCCATTCATCCATTCATTCACTAAATATTCGCTCACTTCCTACTATATACCTGGCACTAGGTGCAATAAACCCCTCCCCTAAAGGCCACCACAGCCCAATGAGGGGAAGACAGACAGTAAAAACAAGCTGGAGTTTGTGTGTATCTGATGGGGTTAAAAGTAGGAGGCAGTAGGGCTAACAGGAGCCTTTGTGAGGTAGACTGCTCTGTGTAAGAGGCTTCTGGGTTCTAGGACATGCACCTGCCTCAGAGAATTATGGGTATGAGCCAGGGAGGTATTATGGAAAGAGCATTCCAAGCAGGGGAAGCAAGAGACATGGCCAAGAAAGGATGCATGGAGGGTCCAGTGTTATCACAGCAGTGTAAGCAGGAAACCAGAAGCAGGCAATGGAGGCAGAGACTAAGCTGTCTCCTTCCAAGCTAAGTATGAAGAAAGCCCTGTAGAGTGTAAGCAGAATAGTGGCCTAGCCGAACTCCTGTTTTCAAAGGATCCCACTGGCTGCTGCTCTGTTCATGACAGTCTGTAAGATCAGAAATGCAGAGAGCAGATGTGGAGAAACTGCCAAATTCCAGGGAGGAGGGAATGTGGCCTGGAACGGTTTGACAGCAAGGAAGTAGTGAGAAATGAGGTTCTGGGTCGATTTGAACACGGGGTCAATGGGAATTGCTGAGCTATCAGATGTTACGTGTATGAGCAAATGGGGTTTGGCATAAACAACGGGAAGGTGCGGTTGCCAAAGCAGGTTTAGGGGATGTGGTGAGGAGCCCAGTTTTATGACTGCCATGTTTAAAATGTTTATCAGGTGTCCAAACGGACTTGCCAAGATTCACTTAAACACAGAAGCAGTTCAGGGCTGGAGACGAGGCTCAGTGGCACACAGCTTCTCCAGTGTGCACAAGGAATGACATCCGAGGTTGACCTCCATCCTCCACACGCTGTATCTGCCCATTTGAGTTCCCAGGGTTTTTATTTAAACTGAGACCAGCGAGCACAGTGGTACATTTTACTCCAGCCACATCCACCTATGCGGGTACCCATGAGAAAGAGGGTGAACTGGACTGAACCAAGGTGGTGACTAATCTAAGAGATCGTGACACAGAGGGATGGGGTGAGGGGGCAGTCTCTCAGCCAACAGAGAAGAAGCAGGGCATGAGAAGGCACCAGAGAAACAGGCAGTTGTCTGAGCAACTACAGGTCCAGACTGAAGAATTTCTGGAATCCCAAACCTAGATGGAAATAAGTGGGAAGAGAGGACACTGTGGTCGGACAGACGTTATGAACAGAAAAGCTGAAGGACTCCCTCAAGGCTGCAGTCATATATAGGATAAACCCTTGGGCTCTGACCGGCCAAGGTAATGCCCCCATGAAGGGACAGGTTTCAGCTCACAGGGTAGTGAAGTGGCTGTTCAGAAAAGACATTGAGATTACAGTGGAAAGACCGTGCATCCTGGCAATGTTGCCTATGTCCAACATCCTCTGGACTCCTCTGTCATAGCTCACCTGTCCTCAGAACCTTCTAGTCTGAACTCATCAGCGTGACTGTCAAGCCAAATGCAACCTTCCTCCCAAACTGCCTACCTAATAATGCATAGCCAAGGAGCCTGCTGCCACCATGCTTCACTCAGACCGCTCCTGGCCTTGCTCCCCGTCGGCCCATTGATATCCTGCTACCCCTCACGGCTTTCCTCCTCCTCAAAGGATTTGGCCTAGTAAGTAGTTGAAGGTTTAGTTAAGTACATGTTCTCAGGTCACAGAAAAGGATTTTAAGAAAATAATTCTGCACCACACCCATTCCCAGACAATGGATGGATTGGGTTCTTAGTAAACACTTTTTGGTAATGTGGTGTCTTTGAAACTCTGTAGTGTGTCCTCTCCTGACTATGAACAAGGGTAAGAGAGGGGCAGTCATCTCCAGGGTCAAGGACAGATTTCTTGTTCCTGCCTGGAAAAGTACAGATTCCGTTGCTTCCCTAACATGAGCCCTAAAGACTATAAATTCTGAATTCCATTCAGAGAATATTTTGGTGCTATTGGTCCTGCTTAACTGACAATCTTGTTTATCTGGGGGGAACTTCTGTTCAATTATATTTCAGTTAAAAAAAAAGACAAGCACAACAGTAGCTGAGCTCACTATGTGTCCGGTGACTGAAGCATGCCCAGGGGTTTGCTTCATTTCATCCCTACACCTGGTTCATCTGTGTGATCCCATCTCCCTGGATATGGAAGTGGTTGATGAGGGAAGAAACACAGAGCTGGAGAGTTAAGACTCACGTTAAGACTCTCAGCTCTATCCCAGAGTGCCTCCCTATACAAGAAAGCCCAGGGCTTGGAGCTGAGAGTCCCCAGTACCGCCAAAGGCTTCATCTCGTGTATGCAAAGCCTCAAGACATTATCTGGCTTATTACAGTGTTTCTCCAGTCTTAATGTCAAAGCAAGAACAGGGGACTGAGGGGGTGGCTCAGTGGATAAAGTGCTTGCTAGGCAAGTATAGGACCTCAGTTCAGACCTCCAGCACCTACATAGAGTTAGATGTAGTGGGTGGCTGTGACCTCAGTGATACAGAGCAGAGGTTGGTGTAACCCATGGGCTCACTAGACAGTTCTAGATTCAGTGAGAGATCCTCTCTTGAAGAAAAAGAAGTGGAAAATCAATTGAGCAAAACAACCTGACATAAATCTCTGGCAAATGCATACACACACACACACACACACACACACACACACACACACACACACACACACACATGTGCGTGCACACGAGAGAGACAGAGAGAGAGAGAGAGAGAGAGAGAGAGAGAGAGAGAGAGAGAGGACCACAGACAGAAATGGAGGCACTGTAATGCAATGTGGCACAATCATAATGTGACCAGCAGCTTCCATCAAAGACCAAGGCAGTGGAGGCCCAGGCTCCTCCCTCTCCCAGCATTCCCTGACATAAGAGCTTACCCGGTACTTGTTTGGGTTGTGTCTTTCCACGCAGGCCCCCTTGAGGCAGAACTTGCCCTCTCCACAGCTGGTGCCATCTGCCCAAGGGAAGTGGCGGGTCTGGCACACCATCTGCCCCTTGGCCTTGCCCGTGCACCACAGCTTTGTACAGTACTGCATATAAGGACAGGGCTTAGAGCCCACCCCAAAGGCCAGCTCGCACTGTTGGCTCAAACTGTAGCTTGTGCCTGGCAGGTCCTCGGGCAGGGAGATGGGCTTGCTGGGCTGGTCCAGGAGGCAGTCACCTGCACAGATCCAAGGACATGTGTTAGGACAAGCTGGGGAAAGCGAGGCCTGGCTGGCTTAGAATCTAAATGGTAGGGGGAGGTGAAGTAAGGGGTAACTAGAGTAGACCCATGTCAGAGCCCAATTCTTTGTCATCTTTCTGGTACAGAGGACATCTAGAGAGAGGGTAAGCACTGCCATCGAGGACAACGGCACGGGCCTTCCCACTCAGCCCTGCTCCTCTCCGTCTCCCGGCTTACCATGCCCACTGTCCAGGAAGTCAGTGATGATAGCAGCGCTGCAGGCTGACCAGGGGTTGGCACGATCGATTTGGATGAGTGTCGGAGACATCATGTGGTTGGCTCTGAGCTTCCCAAACACCTCCTCGCACACCTTCACGTTGTCGTGAGGCATGTTGAACACATGGCCTGTGGGATGAGACAAGAGGATTCGGGAGGCAGGAGCAGAGGGCTGAGAACAGGCCGGAGGGGCTGCGAGAGGAGATGGAGACGCAAGAAAACCCAGTGATGGTTTTCAAGCTGGTGCCTGGCGCCTGTCCACTGTCTTCTTTGTAGATGTCCTACAGACTAACTTGTGTCTTGTAGGACACAAGCCTGTGTCTCCCATCTCCTCCATCGGACTGTGAGCCAGGGAAGGACAGCAGTGTGTCACCTTGTCTTTAAGGTATTCTCCCCAACGTGCCCAGGTGTCAACTGGGCTACCGCAATCAGAAAAAAAGTAAAGCCAATGTCAAGGCAGATGCTGGCCCCAAGAAAGGATACCTACAGCTCCAAAATATGAGAAATCAAATATAAATGTTTCCCCTCCCTCCAAAGTACCCATCACAAATCCAGATCATCCCCAGAGGTCACCTTCCCTCCTCTCCAGCCTTACCCAGCTCATGGGCAGTGGTGAAGGCCGACGGAAGCCCATCGTCCTCGATGACAGAACAGCTTCTCTTAGGATCACACATGGTACCCACATCAGCCATGCCCAAGGTGTCACAGGTGGTAGCCCCACATAGGTCCTGCCAGATGGAGGAGAAGCAAAGCCAGACGAAAGTTAGAGATGGGAACAGAAGGGGCCGGAAGAAAACAAAGGGCATTCTATGAGTCTTGCTGCTGCCATCTAGCCCCAGCGTCTTTCAGCCAGATCTTTCTCGCTAAAGGCTGGTGGAGTTATTCATGGAATCAGCCCAGGCTGAAGGAAGTGGCCCCAGGAAGAAAGCTCCATGGCTCACTGAGAAGACTGTACCCTAACCAGGGAAGTCCTGTGGGAGGAAATTAGGAGGTACAAAATTAGACTACAAGGACCACAGCTTTATATAGAGAAGGTCAGGAAAAGAGTGACTCCCACAGTAGGGCGGGGTTCTGATCACAGCTCCCTGAGGTATGTCAGGGGTAGAAAGCAACCATGTTCCCCATCCACGGGCAGCTCCGAGCAGTCCCTGTCTTTGCTGAGTGACTGCCTTTTGGACAACTATGAATAAAGTTCAGGTTCTCAGCCATAGGCTGGCCAGCCAAGGATCTACCCCAGCCAGCGACTTGGCTTCCCTGAGCTGACAGGAAGCAGAGAGAAGTGGACCTGAGCCACTGTCTACACACAGTTTAATGAGCTACCAGAGCTCAAGGGGAGCACAGACTGAAGGGTCACTAGGGATAAAAGACAGAGATCATCACCTAAGTGGGAGGGTCCCCCTTTCTTATCTAGAAGCCTGCTGGTGCAGAAGCTAGGCCTCCCAGCAGCACACTGTATTAGGAAGTATTTCCAGGGGATGCTAAATGAAAAATGGAACTTCATGGATGGAAATCCCAAAAGCCTTGCTCAGTATTATAGGCCATGGATGCATCTAGAAACCCTGAGAACCCAGAAGTTGGAAATGGGACAACACTCATGTACAATTTGTTCCTCTCAGAAGGTGGATGTTAAATCAGTCACACCAACATACTCTCTCTCCTTTATGTCATTGTTTTTAAAATATTTGGAGATTTGGCCCTCACAACAGTCTTAGAAGGTAGATATATTATCACAGCTATTTTTGAAAGGTGGAAAGTAAGCCCATGATCATAACTAATCGTGGCCATGGTTCACTAAGAGCCAACACCAGGCACGAATTCCACATGTATGACCCTATCTAATCCTCACTGCGGTCCACTGAAGTAAGGACTAGTTATCCCCTCCCACAGACAAAGAAGCTGATGCTTGGGGAGGCTCAAGTCACACGGAAGAATCACAATCTAAGGGTCTGCATGACTGGGGATTTGGATGTCACAGCCAATGGCTCAGCAATGCTTGAGAAGAAGCTGCCATGTTCTCCTGTGAAAACCAGGAGGTCAAGGTGAGCAGATATGCAGAGCTCTACTCAATTCTGTTCCCTTTGTGTCTTTCTGTCTCTGTCTGTCTGTCTGCCTCTCTCTCTCTCTCTCTCTCTCTCTCTCTCTCTCTCTCTCTCTGTGCGTGCGTGCGTGAGTGTGTGAGTAAGTGCATGAGTGTGTGCATGAGTGTGTGTGTGTGTGTGTGTGTGTGTGTGTGTGTGTGTGTGTGTGTGTGTGTATGCTGACCTTGGGGATGGCAGGAAGCAACAGGGTTCGTGGGGCCAGAAGGCATGAGATGAAAGTGGTCATAGTACAGAGAGAATCAGCAAAAACTTAATCCAAAGCACTCAGAAGTTTACCACCCGAGCAGTCACACCTGCCTTCCCACGGTCAGGTGATAATCACACCTAATGAGTTAACAGTTTTTCTGGCCAGAGAACTCCATGAGGGTGACCAGCCTGAACCCGAGGTGCCAGAGTCAGCGACGGGTGCTCTGCGTGCCCTACCTCTGTGCTACTGCCTGTGTGAACAGTGTAACACCTCCAGGAACTTCACAAGAGACCTCCAACTCCTTTCCCTTCCTGACCTGGTTCCCTTCCCTTTTCAAAGACCTCACCTCCCAGAAAGTTCTCCCTAGAGCCCTAAAAACCTAAGAAACAGCCCCTGTCAAAAGATCACAGACGAGCTTGGGACAGGAGGGAAAGTGGAAGATATAAAAGAAATACACAGCAATTTATGTATTTCTTAATACAGAACTTAACCCTTAAGACAAGGCTAGGCCAAAGCACCATACGCCTGTGGACACTAAAGCACAGACCTCAGTTGCTGGAGGTGGTGATCTGGAGATTCCAGACCTACAGCTGAAGCCTCCAGCCTCCAGGACAAGAACAGTCTGTGGCTTCCAGGCCACCCACACACTCAGGCTGACCTCAGGCAAGAGAGACGGGACACAGGAATAAGAACCAAGAGATCTAGGTCCCGTTACTTAAGTGGCTATGTGTCTTGGACCAACTGCCTCTTTTCCTTAAAGCCTCGGTTTGCTGCTCTGGGGAAGAGCCAGTTCTCAACTAGAACTCGAACCCTCCCATGACTTAAACATCTTCTCCTTCCTTCTCCGGTCCCCTTCTGGCCCTGTTGATTATGACAGGAACACACAGCATGACCTACTTTTAGAACAGAAAGAACCATAAGGGGCCTCTAATCTACTGATGCACACTGAGCAGTACAACTCACAGGGAAAGGCAGGCTCCTCTACCCCTGCTCATTCCCACACTGCCTGGAAGTGACCAGACCAGAGGAAGAGCTGGCATGGGATCCTAACTCTCCTGTAGCAGCTTCTGCAGCTGGGAGGTCTCTGTAGCAAGGCCTTTCCTCTTTAGAGAGTAGATCCTCCCTCCTATAGACGAGCAACTGCAGGCCCTTCCTGGGCAGGAGCAACCTGTTCTTTCCATCAAGAAACCTCAGCTTCATGGATTAAGTAAAGGGAATAAGCGAAGTCCCTGTGGGGAGGGATGTTGCAGGGGACAGACAGGCCCCAGTCACCAGCATCTTCAGGATGGGAAGACATGCTGCTAGGGTCAGAATTTCTGTCCCCCTTCACCCAGTCAAGGAAGCAAATGGCGATCCTGGGATTTCGAGCTGAGAATGCCCACAGGCATTTGCACAGGGCCCAGCTGTACCTCATAAATGGTCACAGAATGAATGTCTCCACCCTGCTTGAATGAACTCAGGGCCACTCGGTTTGCTCTAACCTCTTTTAGCTCAGGCACTGGTCTCTAAAATATAGACATTGCCCTGTTTCTTTCTGCCCGGAAGACGCAGGCATCTTTCAGCCCAGTCCCTACCTGATTCACTGTTTCTGGCAATTTGCCATTTCTCTTACAATCACGACTGCTTCTCCAGAGGATCCAAGAATCATCAGAGCCAAGAACTTGATCCTCATGGACTCTTCTTTCCTAACTATTCCTGGTTAGGTGTGGAGGTCTAAATAAGGCTGGCACTTTGAGGTGACCAGATACCCCTTCACCAATACTGCTCCCCACATACAACCGCTGCCCAAATCCCTGCCTCGCTGCCTTCCTTGTGGACCTCTCCCTTATCTCCTCTGCTGCACACGCAGATACTAAGACACTGTTTCCCAGCAGCACAAGGGGAAAGGGAAGGGGAACCACAACAATCCAGCACATTAATTTTTTATTTTGGCAGGGAGGGGGAAAAAAATCTATGTGTTCTTATGTAACCAGGTTCCTGAGCCAGGGCTCCTTGTGAGTGACATTCCAGTGTCCATAGCCATCCAGAACTTCAGAACCAACTTGTCAGTTTGCAGACGAGCTGAGGTTGCACACCCAAGGCCGAGTACTGCTACAAGTGAAGCTCGGGGTCTTACATCCTACTACAAAGGATACGACGACCACCAACAGAAAGTGTTAACTGGGCCCCACAGGAATTTGTGCCATGTGTCATCATGTATTTCGTCCGCCACAAAATCTGTTTGTTTATGATTTCTAATAATGGCTTTGCTTTTCCGGAAGTGAAATCTAACAATCCAGAGCTTATGCAACTAAGGAAAAAAAGGTAGACAGTGAAGCCTGGAAGGTGGGCTATTCCTATTAACAAATGTGCTATCACCATCGTATAAATCCTTCCGAAAGTATGAAATGGTATTAGCACAAGAGACTAGAATAGTCCAAAGGACAGGAACTGCCTGACTGAGGGAGAACAGAAGCCAGCACTTCTGCAGGAAGGTTGAACCTCTCTAGAAACTAGCACTTCAAGAGCGGGTACTTGTCAACAGTATGAGGACAGCTGGCAGTTATTGAGTTGCTACAGTGTTCCAGATGCTGCAGCAAGAGTTCTACCTGGGTTACTCAATGAATCCCCCTTCGGAAGAGATGCCATTACTAAGCTCTGCTTTACAGAAGAGAGCCACATAAAGTATGTCATTGTCCCAGGGTTGCAGAGAACTCCAAGTTAGGCAGAGTAGAGGCTGAAAGGTAAGAGTGTAGCCCCTGGACTGAGTTCTAGCAGGATTCCTTATTGCTTCTGCAGTGCATTATCTACTCCAAGAATGAAGGTGCAGAAGACACTCAAGAAGGAAATGATCACACACACACACACACACACACACACACACACACACACACACACACATACACACACACACACACACACACACACACACACACACACACACACACACACCACCAGGTCAAGGCAGTACTGGTGACCATAGGTGAGGAGAATCCCAGGCAGAGGGAACCGGCTAGAATAAATGATAGCAGCGGCATCTGCTGAGGCCACGCTGGTTGAGCAAGCTGCTGGCTCCTCGCCCCACACCTGCACTGACACACTGACCCTGTCCCTGCTGTGCACCCTGTCTACTGACTCCAGGGTGGATTAACATGCTCCTCCATGGGGCCCCACCTTTCTCTAGGGCAAAGCCTGGTGGCAGAGAGCCAAGAAGAAACGCCAGAAGAAATCAACACTGCAGCCTGACAGCCTGAAAGCTGAATTAAAGGTCCCCGGGCAGAGGCAAAGTACTCAAGCACCCAACAGCTTCGGGCAGCCAGAACTTTCCCCTGAACCTTCCTTCTATGCACCTGATGAACTACCAGATGCATGGGCCCCGGCAGGGGCTACAAAGACATGATGTGATGCCTGCCTTAAAGGAATTGGCAAGTACTGACGCACAATCCCCACACAAACACAAGAGTATTAATAATCAGGCAAGTACATGGCAATGACATACTTGCAAGCGCAATCATACAAAACGCTTTAAGTCAAGGCTATCCCAAATTTACATTTTTGGCAAAGGACCTGTATGTACTTATTCAAGAACAAGAAACATAGCCAACGCAACTGCTAAAGTAGTGACAATGATAGCTGCCACCACTGGAAGCCTATGCTAGATACATCCTCAAAGTAGCTGCACAAGTTGAATATGATGCTCTGCCTTCTAAAGATGAGGGTGGTGGAGTTCAAATAGCTGACCACTGGTAGGAAATTCAAGTGCTGAGATTCACGCTCAGCTCTGCTTGATTCCAAGCCAATTATTCGTTTCCATTGCACCATGTGCAAGTCAAGGGATCAAGACACAGTGGGAAGAGCGTGGAGGTGTGGAGGGAAAGAAACAACCACAGTGAGGTTCAAAGGAAGGTAGGCAGCAATACCTAAGGTAGGAGATAGCATCTTTGTTAACTAACCCACTGGTTAGAAAGAAGGAATGGAGCTGGAGAGATGGCTCGGTGGTTATTGCTCTTACTTATTGCTCTTGCAGATGACCTAGGTTCAGCTCCCAGCACCCACATGGTGGCTCACAACCATCCACAATTCCAGTTTTAGGGGATTCAAAGCCTTCTTCTGACCTACGAGGGGACAAAGCACACATGTGATGCACATGCATACATGCAGGCAAAACACTTCTACACATAAAATAAAAAGAATAAATCATTGTTTTTTCTTTAGTAAAAGGGGTGGGTGAGAGGAAGCCCCCACTCTGGTGGCTGAGGCAGGACGAGCAGGAGCCTTGAGGCCAACCTGAGCTGTATAGTAGAATAGATCAAAAAGGGGAGGGGGGAGAAAGGAAAGAAGGGCGATAGGAAGGAGGGGAGGGAGAAAAGAGTGAGGGGGGAGAAAGGGAGGAATAAGGGCAGGCTAGAGCTGAGACAGTAGAAAGAAGCCCATGAGCCCATGCATGCAAACTAGCCTCGGATACTTAGAAGATGCCACACAAAAGGAAGGATTCTCCCCACCTCCACCCCATCTTCTGCCATTAATATTAGGCTTACTTATTTGGAGTAGGAAAAAATGGGGAGTACTCACTCTATGAGACACAAAACAATTATATTCCACCATTCCTCTCTTTCCCCACCTCCCTTTTCTCATTTCAAAAGCAGTGGTACACTGCCATGTTGTGACCAAGAAATGGCAATACCAAATCTTCAAATGTCTCCTCTCTCCCAATATCTTCCAAAGTCTGACTTCAAAACAGAGCCTGATGAAATAAAAATTCCTTCTTACCATGCTGGGAGGTGGATGTAAAACACAAAGCATCATCTTACTATTCATAGCCTTTAATCTGAACACAAAATGCACTACCCTGCTGCAAGTATTTGATTTATAGAAAACATTAGGCTCCGTTTCCTGAAAGATTCTGCTTTGCACAGTATAGAAAACACCCCATTCCATGCCCCCACACAGGATCTGGAAAGATGGCTTAACAGTTAAGAGTACATACTGCTTTTGCAGAAGATCTGCGTTTAGTTCCCAGCCTCCAAGTCAAACAGCTCAAAACCACTTGCGACTCCAGCTCTAGGGGGAATCTTACATGTCTGACCTCCACGGGCACCTACCCTCACTTGGGTGCACACACACAAGACGTGGTACTGCTCAAGACGAAGAACACAAAATCAGCGCCAAGCTTTAGGGTTGGGAGAGGGGAAAGTTCTGAGTATGAATAAAAAAAATAAGACAGTTGAGTCCCCCGGATAGCCCCCAAAGAGGAAGAAAGAAAAGGTTAAAGAAGCGAAAGAGAATTCCATGAAATGACTCTAAGCAAAGAAAAATAGAATGAGCGAGAGCAGGAGGAAAACATAAACTGCAAGTCATAAAAGTGAGAATGAAGTCATGTCAAGAGAGGAAATGTCACAAATAGTGAAGCAGATGGCGGAAGGATTGAAGGTCACTTACAACACAGAAGCAGACTTCTGTCCTCACTCCAGGGCTGCCAGGAGCCCTTTCTGCACCCAGGCTCTGAGAGTGCATCCTCAGCTCCTGGGAAGAGAGCACACACACACACACACACACACACACACACACACACACACACACAGCTCTTTGCCACACTGATCATTCCTGGTGGGGCGGGGGCACTGGGCCACATCTCATTCATATGTTCAGCTCCAGCCAGAATAGTACATGAAAGTCATAGATGCTCAAGAAGTACCAAGAGAATGGATGAGTGAATGGACAAACACCATTTGCCGCGAAGGGTTACTGAAACAACAGAGGCACTGGACCTGAAATCAAGGAGGACTCGGGAAATCAGGGTCTATTGAGTCACAGCAGGAAATACCTGGCATCTGCAGCTGGTGCAACAAGAAGCCAGAGATGTTGTGCTCCTCATAGAAATAAGTGAGAATGATTCTGGCTCTGATCCTCGGCAGCTCCTCGTTCCTTTCCTGGGCTGACCTCACCCTGCTGTTATGAGCCTGGAGGCTGGCTGCTTTGCAAAATCAGATGTGCTCTCTTTGTCCATGAACTTATTCTGAATCTTTACAGAAACTCTTCCAATTGTCAAAACACTTGTTGTATGATCAATGTATTCCCTCTTCCGGACAGCTAAGGTTCCTAGAGATCCCATTTGTCTTGGTCTAAAAAGAACAGCTGTTTGCCCGGGTTCTCATCCAACACTCTACCTTCCCGAGGGAGACTGGGGGGGCAGGGGGCACTGCATCAGGAATGAGAAGTTCCTAAGACTCTGAGAGTACAGCAGGCCCCAAAATCTGTGCTGGCAAGGAGGTGGGGGAGGAGCTGTTTATACAAGCATGACACACATACCTTGATGATGGGCCTGCCAACACAGACTCCCTGCTCTCTGGCTCTGCCCTCTAAATGCCTAAGAGAAGAACAGCTTCTAAGTCACATCTTTCACATGACCACTTCTGACCCAAGTGGTCCTGCAGCTTGGACCCATTAGGCACAGAAGACACGGCCCCCTGGGGGGTCTAGCACACCACTGAGAAACAGAAGCTGCCCTGCTCCGTGCTGTGCGATTGCTGCTTCTGCAAAAAGGCCATCTTCTGGTGGTATGGCCTACTTCCCCAGCGGGGGCTCTTCTTCTCGAGGTTGGTTCCAAAAGTCAAGCCTCCACAACTGCACTGAGGTCTGTTATTCTAGAGCCAGGGAGCGACCTCCACAGGGGCATCTCAGGTAGCAGATGGGACAACAGCTGCTTTACGCATTAAGAGATCCTGTTCTTGGCCTTTGCTTTTTTTCTCCCAGAAATCTGACTGCAGAGCTGGTCTGGGTGCAGAAGTGGAAGGCTCTTCTGAAGTTTCCCCATGACTCAAGCAGGGCTTGTCGGGCTGGGCTGCGGCTGCTCCACAGACCTCAGTTGGAAGAATGAGTACAAGGAAACAAGGCTCAGGCCAAAGACCTCCCTAGAGGAACCAGGTGGTGGGAGGAGAAGAGGCTGGGAAAGGAGGAAGTTCCATTGCAGGAAGGGACTAGCTGTGCCAAATGGGTTACTGTGGAAGACTCCGGCTCCAGCTCGTGGGCGCCAGACCAACTCTAAGTGGCCATTTAGTAACAATGAGAGCTGGCGGCATGGAGGTGACCAAGAACTCTGGGCTGTGGCTGTAGTGCTGTGGTTATGAGAACGAAAATACAAGATTCGAGAAAATACAGGGATTCAAGTCACGGCCCCCAAAAGCAGAGAAAGCGGGGCGCTTGGGTGACTCTTTTCCTCCAGTGTTTAAAGAATTTCAGGAATTCAGATCGTCACAGTGCCCAACTTTTAAGTCAACACTTAGGGTTCTAAATGTTCACCAGTTCTTGAGATAGAAGGTCAGGTAAAGACATGAGGAAGGCAAGGCTATCTTCCCCCATCTGGGTTCATCTCTTTAGTCCCAACTTAGTCTTTTCAGCCCTGCAGCTGGAATGTCCAAATGCTCTTGACTAAGCTCACACCACCTTGCACAGCAAGAGCAGAGCGGGAGGATCTGAGGACTGGAACACGAGCGGTCTTGTCTGCTCTGCGGCTTAGAATGCAGCTGCGCAAACGGGTCGTCATCTACTAACAAGGATAGGAGAAAATTGGGAGACAGTTTCCCCGGCTCAATTCTAAGTGAAACTCCGAGTGAAATAGTTCCAGTTCCAAATAGGTGCCCTTACTACACTGCATGCTCAGAATAGTATGGAAGTCACTGGACAAGGCCCGACAGAGAAGGATGTAGGGAGAAGCAGCAATGGAGAATATGCTTAAGTCTGGTCTTTCACAGCAACCCACAAACTATTGTAGCGGTCCCCTCCATCTCAGTCCAGGATTCCCAGACCCAACACAGAGAAAGGATGACATGTTGCCCACTAGAAATGTAGCAGGGATTGACCTTGAATCACCTTCCAGTACTACATTCAGCAAAAGTAAGCCTGCTAGAGATGTCAGAGAAAACTTAGCCACCCACATAGGAGAGGCGGAGGTTCCCATTCCCACCATCTACAACACCATCCTCATAGCGCCTCCTATCGGCTTTGAAGACAAACTGCAGCTCAGGGGCGGCAACTTCCCGGGTTCCAGCCCCTCCGCGCCTGATCCAGAAGGTGCTGATTGGCTGCGTCAAGACAACACCTTCGAAAGAAGCAGGCTCTCCTCCAACCTCCCAGAAGCACGTGAGGTGGAGCTCTGCTGAGCTTAGGAGAAGGCTCTAATTAGAACTTCCAACGCTAGAACTCGGAAGAAACCAATTTAAAGGAGGCATTGAGTGGCACAAAGGGGCTTTGGAGAGCTAAACGCAATGACACTAAGAAAATGGGGTTGAGTCCTAAGAGGTGGCAGATCAACTCACCTGTCTGGTGAAGAGGATGGCTGTGTCCCAGTACTCAGGGTGCTTGTCGCTCACTTTGTTCAGCTTTTTCTGCCAGGCACAGAAGTTGCGCAGAGTCAGGGCAGCGTTGCCTGTGACCTTGGGCCCGGTGTCGCGGTCTCCTAGGAGTAACACCTTGACCACAACGATGTTGATGGGGTTGAGGATGCTGGGGTGGCGGTAGAGTCGCGCCGCCGTGGCCAGCAGCGTCAGCAGATAATGTTCCAAGTCCGAGCCGTGAAACTTGACCATTGACTCGTCCGCCACCACCAGTGTCTCCACGTACCGTGGGATAGACACGAAGCGCTTGGCGCGCCCAGACCTGCGCCGACTGTGACTCTCCCCCACGCCCGTCCGCCGTGGTTTGTAAGGGTCCAGGGCCCTCAGAATGGCGGGGTTCCATCCCGAGGCCACCCCGCAGCGAGAGGTAGGGTCTCCGGAAGGCCCTACCGGAGCACCCCGGCGCTGGAGAAGGTGTGCGCCCTGGCTGTGACGCTGCGCCGCCGGCGCGCTGGCGTTGGGCAAAGGGCTAATGACATACTCCGCACCTCGGTAGCCGAAGGCTCCGCGGAGACCCCCGCACAGGCTCACAGCAGCAAAGGAGTCTGGCTCCGCGTTCACGTACCCGGAGTAGAAGCAGTGTCGCAGGTCTAGAGAGCTGCCGGTGAGCCTCTGGAAGGGGACACCTAGATACTCCGTAGCGAAGGCGGGAGCCAGGAACTGGGCATCCGGCGTCAGGTGTAGGTAAAAGTCCTGCTGGAAAGCTGTGATCTGAAAAATGAGACCCTGATCCCCGGAGTCCTCCGTACCCCTCCTGTAGTAGTGGCGGCCATTGATGTCCGGGTCCCGTCGGATTGGAACGACCACCTCCCACTCCGGCTCGGAGCTGCCAGCAGGTCGCCAGGCGAGAGCCAGGATTGAGATGCCCAGCAGAAGCATGGCGCCGGGCCGCGCACAGCCGCGCTCTGGGATGGGACTTAGCCCGGCTCCCACGGCAGGCACTGTCCCCTTGTAGCCCACAAACCAACGCCCGGGACAACAGGCAGCTACCAGAAAGGACAGCCAACCAAGTCGTGGAGACTCCTTCCAGAGCTGCAAGCGTGCACGGGGCAGCCCGCGCCTCCTACCTGTTCCTCCCTAAGCAAAACGCGCTCTGGGAGCTTTAGTACGATCGCTGTCAAGTGCACAGGCGAAAATTTGTCGTGGAGAAGTGGCGCGAGGTAGCGGGCTGCTTCGCTAACCGCAGTCACTCGCGGTGCAGCAAACCAGGCACTGGGCGAGCCTATAAAAGGCCCCCTCCTCTTTGGACTGCCCAGTCAGCGCCTCTCCCCTCACTCCCCTCCCAGCCTCCCAGAGCTCGCAGCCTGGAGCCTCCAGGGGCCACCGGAGAACTCGGTCCCGCCTCCTGAACAAGAGCCACTTGGCGGGGAGGGAGTGGCGTTCTGCTGAGGCAGGAGGCGTGGGCTGACCTAAGAAACCAACGCTGGAGTCTACTCGCGTTTTGCCCTAGGTACCCCAGTACTGAGACGCATCAGTCAGTACTGCCTGGCTGGGCATCTGTGAGTTCCCTAAGTCTTAGCCTTCCAGTTAGGGGAGTCAGGAACCAAGACAGTACTGACTCCCTTTTCCAGGTCCACCTCTTTCCTCCGGTTGCAGCAGCCCCACCCGCTGCTTCTTAACCATCAAGTCTCCTAAAAGACCTCAAGCCAAAGAGACCCCCTTTAAACGTCTTAGTGTTGGGAGAGAAACAGAGCCAGCTTCTTCTTGAACCCAGAGCCACCCGGGCCCACGAACTGCCCTGTGGGGTCAGTGCTGTGCTCTCTGGGCCCAGACAGGCTGTCAGATTTGCAGGAATTCTGCCAGGCAGCTGTTCAATGCAGTCATTATTTAAAATTAAATTCTATAAACTTACAATTAAATAAATTGTATTTTCAAACAAAGGTGATAAACTCTCAAAACCCCATCACTTCCTAATTATCTGATTATTCTCTCTGGTCTTAAGCCACTGAAATCTTCAACTCTTCCCCCCACAGCCCGGATCTCCCACAGAAGAGAGCAGGTGAAGGTGGGAATCCAAATGCCCTGCCACTTAGTGTCTCCATCTCCCCATGCATAGCAAAGGGCCCTCAAAATAGGTCATGTTGGCAGTATAGCTAACGCTAGCCCTTACTTAACATTTACTGGTTTCCTAGTGCCTAAAGGAGACAGACAAGCAAATGCTGGTTGTCTTCTACCAGGGAGAGCCAAGGGACTGGTGGGCAGCAGCAAAAGTAGACCATGCATCTTCTATGTGCCATGTGATCCTTGTCCAAGTATAGGGCAGGGCACTGGAATGGGAGAGTATGGATCAGCTGGAGAAAGCACAATCATGCTGTAAAGTTCCCATCCAGCTTGGAGATAAGCCTGGGGAGCTGAGTGTGGCACTAGACTTCAAGATTCTCACGTTTTTTGCAGAATCTGGGACTGGAGAGGTGGTTCAGGGGCTAAGAGCACCATCTTGCAGAGGATCCAGGTTCAGTTCTTAGCACCCACATAATGACTCACTGTCATCCATAACTCCAGTGCAAGGGGGCCCAATGCAGTCTAACCTCTTCAGGCACAGGCATGCATGCAGGCAAAACACTCATATACATAAAATAAAATAAACAAATCTGGGCAGAACCTCTTTTTTTCACCAACAAGAAAGAAACCATATAGAGGAAGGAGGCTTTCCTGCTTAGTGTCTCTTGATAAGCAGAAAGTCTTTCAGGAAACAAATGCTCTGGGTTGCATTCTGAAGAGAACACTAGAGGGGGAGTGTGACAAGTTTAAGGATGAAGAAGGTGGTGAGAAAAGGTTGGGGAACTGTGTTAGAGAAGTGCTACTCCAGTAAACAGGTTCCGTTGTCAAAGGAAAGAGAAAGCTGGGTCAGGTCCATAAACGAAGAGTTCTTTCTGCCCATTATCTTCTCCCCATAAAGAACCTTAGAAGAGCCCTCTAGGGCCTTGGAACAGGAAGACTGACAGATGCCCATAATTCTACTGAGGCCCCTCCTTAACTGAGACAAAGGATCTGAAATTCATTATGTGAATGAGTAAGAGATGGGTGTTTATACTCTATAAATGAAAGGGAAAGTGGGCATATGGGAGGAATGTGTGTAAGAGGGAGTTACAGTTTACAAAGGCCTTGTGTTTGAGTGTTCAAAGAAGGCCTATAATTAAAGAGCAACTCAGCAATGAAAAGCCATGTATTTAGAGCAAGCAGTTCCTCTCCTACACCCGACAGTTTTGATGGTGGATTACAAGACTTCCAACCGCATTTTACTTTCATTATGATGGGTTTGAACAAGACTTGCTGCCTGTCAATCAACATGGCAAGCCCAGGAAGAGGAAACCTCCTCCCCACCCAAGAACTTCCAATCTCCCTTCCCCAGTCACAGTCCAAAGAGTGCACCCCTGAGCACGGAACCTGACCGTGTGGACTTACACAAAGGCATGTGTTGCACACTCACTGCGGACCGAGCACTACACCGAAAGTTTTGTGTGCATTATCTTATTTAGTCCTCGTCTCTCTCCTCTTGGGAAGACAATTCTATTCACTTTTGCCAGGGGTTTCCAGTGAGGAAATGAGGCCGGGGGGATATGATGGTGTAAAGTACAGGCGAGCGGAAGTGAGAACTCAGAATCCAAGCTGCTTTGTTATGATCTGATTCTCAGCCTCTGAGTCTCCTTGTCTGTCAAGTGAGCAGGGTCTTTGTGAGGACCACACTGGAAATCTCTGGTCTCTAAAGACACTTCTACACCAGATATTTATGACTATTTGACTGAGGCCTATAAGAGGCAGTATAATGTAAGGATCAGTGTAATGACACATACCTAAATAGATATATAGAGAGAGGAAAATTTGATGTGATGGAACCCTTTACATGTGTAACTAAAAGAGGAGAGAGACAGACACAGAGAGAGACACATACACAGACACACAGAGATAGAAACAGAAACAGAAACAGAGACCAGAATCACACATCCTTCATCAGATACCAGCTACACAGTCTTGGGTACATGACAGTATTCCCCTAAACTTCAGTTTCCCCGCTGTTAAAATGGGGGAGAGGGTAAGGATATCACCTTAGCTCCAATAGTTGTGAAGACTAAATAGCTAATACTTCCAAAGAGTGCAACAGTATTTGGAACACATAAAAATTGTTTCTTAAAATCGTATCTACTAATACTAGATATGTTGCCTGCTGTCATCATCATCATCATCAACACCATCATCAACATCATCATCACCACCACCACTACTAGGCTTTACTAAGCCCTCCAATTGGCATCACGGCCTTCTGAAGTTTTCCATATTCTCAACAGGTAAGGAAAGAAAGCTTATAGAAACATCCTCCCCAGCTCTGGCAAGGGACTCATGGATGGTTTCAGCTGCCCACTTTCCATGCTAGAACCCCACAGCTACCATCCTCTTGCTTTTCTCTGTCTTCTATGATGTAATTATCCTTGGAAAGCAAAAAGTGCCACTCTACCTAGAGAAAGATTGGAAGCCTAACTGTGTTGTCACTTCTAAACATCTGTTTGGTCCTCAACACCCCTGAAGTCTCAGCCGACAGGCAGCTTCTCCAAGGGCTGTCTCCAAGCCACCCAATGTCACAATGTAATTATGATGTAATTAATTAATTAATCACAATGTAATTTATAATTATTTGTCTAGATCTTAGCATTTATCTCTATTTTTAAAAAACTAATTTTCTTATTACATTTATTTGTGAGTGTTTACATGTGTATTTGTATGTGTATCTGCTACAGCATACATATGGAGGTCACAAAACACCTCTCAGGAATCTGTTCTCTCCTGCCACCTTGTGGGGTCTGAGGATGGAACTCAGGTCATCAGGCCTGTGCAGAAACACCTCTACCCACTGAGCCGTCTCTTCGGCCCTGGATCTTTACTTCTTTATGTATTGATTCCCTGTGCCCCTGATAGAGTAAGAGTGGGACCTCACGTGTCTTCTTCACTATTCTATCCCTGGGGAACCAGCATAGTGCTGGGCATACTGGACTCTCCATATATATTGAATGAATGATTGAACCTATTCTATGCTCAGCTTACTTACCCTAGTCTATAAAATATTTGACCAACAGTTTCACCTCCAAGATTGATAAACCTGCCCCATGAAGGAGACTCCCCAGTGTGCTGCAGTTCTTCATGCCTCCCACCTCTCTGGCACAAGCCGGAGCCCACTAAGTACCTCACCACCTAACCCAGCACCTTCATTTCAGGGTTGAGACATCTCAAACTCAAATGAGTAAATTGGTTTGTATAAAGTCAGCCAGCCAGTCAGCTGCCTTACTCAACTCATGAACTCATCCTACCTGAACATCGAACACCTGCTCTAACCTCATCAACTAGCTTAGCTGCTTCATGTAGCTCTTACCACAAGAGTAGCTCTCTGGAAGCATAGGATATCATCTTAATTTCACCTATGCCTGTCTAAAAATGACAGAAGCCCCTCATTTATTGCACTCACACAGAGAGGTTCCGTTGGCTTGCCCTTTTCTAATTATGTGGAGTCATATCCTGAGAAAGAGCTACAGCCATCGAGCCTCGGAATCTCATCAGAATCGGGGCTCCCTTTCCCGCCATGTCAATCTCCATGACAGTCTCCAGCACAGGTGTTGACTACGTGGTTAGGCCAGGTCCGTTCCAGGTAGAAGATCAGCTCAATAAGGAGCGCACTGAGGCCAGAGCTGGCAGCCACAATCAGGTTAGATCTTGCTTCCTTCAGAGGCCAGGCTGGTGATTTTCTAACCAAATATGACTCTATTGGCCTGGGGCATGCCAGGAGTTCTTCCCAAAATACCAAGATGAGCCCTGTGGAAACCAGGAGAACAAGCACTGTGCTGGTTAGGCAAGATTTCTCTGGGAAGGAAAGTGATCAGAAGCACTTTGATTTCTTAGATTAGAGATTATAAATCATTAGTTCACCAGGTTGGGATTTAATTCATGTTTTTTATATCGCAACATGAAAATAAATTTATGAACTTATCAACTCAGCCCTTGTCTCCTTGTGTCTTTATCGTTCTTTGTCAAAGATCCCTAAAAGCCACATGCATCTCATCCACTCATCATGGACTCTACACCAGAGAAAGGAAAGTAAACAGAATGTCCATGGGTGCAGCCTTGGAGAGCGCCTTGGGGGACCAAGGAAATGATAAACCATAGTGTTGAGAGCCTTCCCCGGTTTCCACTACTACTTGAGCCCTCCACTACTCTCCTTCCAGATGTGGGGACAGCTGGGACAGCTGGAGGTTCATCTAAGGCCCTATGAATTATAGCTCTGGGCCCGGGTCCATTCTTTATTGCTCGAGGAAATGTTTAACTCTATTTTTCCTCTGAACCACCCACTCTTGTTCTTTTCTCTGGGTTTAAGAGCTTAAGTAGAAGTTCTTCTGACACTTCCAGTACTAATTCCTTTGGATCCTAGATCAGAACCAAGGGTCTTGATTTGGCTGAAGCAAACTCAACAAGTAATTCCAGATTGTGTCCTTCTTCTGACCTAAATTCTACTCATATAGTCTTAAATACCAGCCACCACCCCAAAGCGCAGGCACCCCAATTCAGTCACTTATTTTATAGCTTTACATGTACACACCTCAATGTCAATTACTTTGGACTTCTTAGCTGTTCCCTACATGTACACACCTTTGCTTTCTGTTGGATGGATGACTCCTTCAGTGGAGACACACTCAAATATAACTTCTCAACTCCTACCTACAGACTTCGAAAGCAATTCAGTTGTCTGGCCAAACAAGCTTCTGTCTCCTCTGCTCATCCGCTATGCTCCTTCCCCAACCTGCATCCACGATAGAACCTTCAAGACTGGACTTGACCTGGAGCCTCCGGGTCCACCGTGATGGGGATGAAGGACAACCTCTAGACATCAGATGAAGCTCCAGGATGAACTCCACCATTCCAGAGGACAAGGTGGTGGGAATGAGACATACTAGAAAGTGGGAGTCGGGAGTGGGAAGTCGGAGTGGATACAATCACAATATATTGTATACATATATGAAATTGTTAAACATTCAAAGACAATCTTTTTAATTGTTTTCATCAGTCTCCAGAAATAAATTAGTCTCTTCCACCAACCTATCCTTCTTTCTAATAAAACACTAGGAACATACAAAATCCTATATAATTCAGAATTCATACATATTATCTCACTTTAGCCTTATAAATAACTTTGGGGAAAAGACTTCTAGGGGTCATTAATAGCTCTACTTTGGGTAAGATAAACTTAGCCTTGGGCTAGCAAGATAGCTCAGTGGATAAAGAAATTTATAAGTAAGTCTAATGCATCCTGGAACCCATAGTGGAGGAAGAAGAGAACCACTCCTGAAAGTTGTCCTTTGACCTCCACAGGCATACCACAGCACACATGGCACACATGTGCTCTCTCTCACTCTCTCTCTCTCTCTCTCTCTCTCTCTCTCTCTCTCTCTCTCTCTCTCTCTCACACACACACACACACACACACACACACACACACATCATTTCAGATACACATATCACATGCACACTCATTCTCTAATAATAAGCAAGAATAATAAAATTTTAAATAATAATTTAAGCAAAAAGGAAATAAGACTCATAGAATTTGAATGACTGACAAAAATCTCCTTGTTGAGGAGTAGTAGAATTAAGACCAAGGCACCTATTTTACATTAAGTTCTACCACAGGGACTCCTCAGCCTTCAGTGTTCCCGTGTTCACTGTCTTCAGAATTCATCATAGGCAGCTCTAGATCTTCCTCCCTCGGATACTCCTTCTCACACTCCTTAAACACATACAAATTGGCTTAAATGGAATTCTTAAGAATCCATGAGTTGCTGGGTCAACAATTAAGACTAAAGTCCTAAAATGATCTAGTCTACATTCTTTGGAACTTCTTCAGACTTCTATAATGAACCCTCAGAATAGAATGGCACTGTTCAAGTTGGAATCCAAGAGTGTATTTTCCATGGTATTCATTTCCACTTCCCTCCCTGCACAGTGCCACTGAGAGGACTCAGCTTACTGGAAATCACCATGGATCACCGGAGCAATGCTGCAAAGATTCTTAATGATTTGGGAACCTCAGAGATCATAAACAGTGAGGCACTTCCCCCAGAAAGAACACCCAAGTGCGCGCACACACACACACACACACACACACACACACACACACACAGAGATATTACCCATAGCTTTGGAAATATGCAGCCCCTCAGAAGCCCAGTCTGACTTCTAGAAGGAGAGCCAATCCTGTCCTTGCCCAAAAAATAGGAAAAACTCTCCTCCCACAGCAGGTAAATTGATAAGAGGCTGGAAAAATCACAAGGGTTTGTGCTTGGCCCAAATTCAATGAGCCAGCCCATCCATGATGGAGAGAGAAGAACACAGAGCATAGAACAGGCCAACTCATAATCCAACTGCAGTTCGGTGGGGGTGGGGGGCAGACAGCTGTTTGATGCTGCTTTCGTTTGGAGGCACCTAGCTCCATGCTCCTGGTGTTTTGAATTCCTTATTCTGTCCTTTAGAGACAATATTCTTATTATCACAAGCACAGACACATGGGATCCACAGAGTGAGTAGCACCATTTGGGACTCATAATTAGGAAGTATGACAGATACAGTTCTCACTTCAGGAGTTTGAAATTTATTTGTTCCGCCAAGAAAAACAGAGAGGAGTCGTGGATTCTTGCTCACTTCATGTAGGTAAAATTAGAGGGAAAAGCATACAGCCTGTGCACACCCAGAGGCGACAGACACTTCCTTGCTCCTCCACTCCTGTCCCCTCAGAGAATGCCTGCCTCCCCTCTGTACACACATTCCCTGACTGGCCCCTCCACCACTGTGCTTTCTGTGGCTCTCCCATACTTCCCACACATCTTCACTCCTTTTTCTCAAAATTGTGTTGCCAGCATTTCATTCACACTGATGTGAAAGTCATGATAACAGCTTGAAGATGGTTCCCGTTAGTGTACGTTTATTTACAGCTTAAAAGAATCCAATTGTTTTTCCAAGCCAAGTTCTGACAGTGGGACTTCAGACTGTACCCAGTAAGGACGGAGTCTTTAGGAGGGGAGGAAGAAGAAAGGCCCTCAGGAAGAGCTGCTGTCAGCAGATCCACAGACTGTACACAACGCTAGGGGGCACGATTCACATCAACAAAGGCCATCAGAAGCAAACGCAGCAGCTGAGCCCACTTGCTAAGCACGTTCCTTCCCTCCAGCATTTTCCTGAGACCAGCAGGGTTGTAATAGGGAGGCCTCCAGTAAGTAAGTTACTGCCCTCAAGTTGTTGTGGGTTTTTTTTTTAATGGTATAATTTTTTTCTATTAATTAATTTTTTTCATTTATTTTACATCCCTATCACAGTTTCCCCTCTCTCCTCTCCTCTAGTCCCCTCCCCCATCCTCCCCCCCACCTCCCCTCTATCCCACCCCCATCTACTCCTCCTCTGTTTGTCCATCTCCACCTCTGGTCTCTGTTCAGAAAGGGGCAGGCCTCCCATGGGCATCAAGAAAGCATGGCACACCAAGTTGAGGCAGGACCAAGCTCCTCCCCCTGCATCAAGGCGGGGTGAGGCAACTCAGCATGGGGAATAGGCTCCCAAAAGCCAGCTTAAGTGCGGGGGATAGGTCCTGATCCCACTGCTAGGAGCCCCACAAACAGATCAAGCTCCACAGCTGTCACACACATGCAGGCCCTCAAGTCTTTTGTCTGGCAGCTCATTTAGAACTGTGTGGTAGGATGCTTATCTCTCAGGCATCTCTTTTTGGTACTAACCTAATTGATGTATGTTGCTTTCCTCTAGGCTCCACACCTCTCCATTTCACTCAGGAAGTGGAAAAGTGAGTGAACCATGGGAACAAGCCTCATGCATGGCCAAGGTGAAATCATAGCCCAAAGTGGAGATAAAATTTACTACTGAGCACCCACAACTCAATATGGATGAGCCCTGTAGGTATCAATTCTCTCATCTTCAAAGACACTGGAAATCAAGGGGCTGAAAACTGGGACTGAGAGATGGGTCGGCAGTTAAGAGCACTGGCTGCCCTTCCAGAGAACCCAGATTTGATTTTCAGCATCCACACAGCTCACAACCATCTGTAACTCCAGTTCCAAGAGATCAGATGCCCTCTTCTGGCCTCCACAAGCACCGGGTATACAAACTGGGCACAGACATACATGCAGGCAAACATCCATGCTGACCTCCCTCTCCATGCTGGGATTTGGTCTGGCTTGAGCTTGTATGGGACTTGTACATTGTTTTACAATTGCCAAGGGTTCGTGTGTTCATATTGTACTGTGTTGAGGACACTTTTCTTGCAGTCACCCAGAACCTCTGATTCTTACAGTCTTTCCATCCATTTTTCCACCACAATTATGGAGCCTCGGGAGGAGGTGATGGGATACAGATGCCTCGTTTAGGGCTGAGAATTCTGTCGTCTCCTATTCTCTGTGCCTTGGCCAGTTGAGGTCTTCCTGTTAGTCACCAGCTCCTGCAATGTCATCATGGCCTTTCTCTGCTCAGAAGCCCCTAGTACATCTATGTTGCCATCTGGAAGAGAGTACACAGTACCCAGAGCAAGAAATACATCTTTTCCCACACTGCCCCCGCCCCCACCAGCTCCTCCAGCAGTGTTCCTCAGCAGTCCCTGTCCTGCAGGCCTGTGAGGCTGCTTTCTTTTTCTAGTGCTGAAGGTTTAACTAGGGGCTTTGAGCGCGACAGGCAAGTGCCTAACACAATACTACATTTCTAGCCCTTAGTTTATAATCGGGATCTTCCTACGCAGTTCAGCCTAACCTCAAACTTGCAACCCTCCTGCCTCTGACTCCTCAGCACTGGGATTACAGGCTTGCTATACTACATTCAGCTAGTTCCTTATTTTATCAGACACAC